CGGCTTTCGATACCATCGACCATGGTATCCTTCTGGATAGGCTAGCGGGATTGGGGGTTGGAGGCACTGCTTTGCAGTGGTTCCGCTCCTATCTCAACGGTCGATTCCAGAAGGTAGTGCTGGGGGACTATGGCTCTGCGCCATGGCAGCTATGCCATGGAGTACCACAGGGCTCCATTTTGTCCCCTTTGCTGTTTAACATCTATATGAAACCACTGGGAGGTCATCAGGAGGTGTGGACTGCGGAATCATCAGTACGCTGATGATACCCAGCTCTACCTCTCGTTTTCCACTAATCCAGGTGAGGCAGTGGCTGTGCTGAACCGGTGCTTGGTCGAGGTAATGGAATGGATGAGAGCCAATAAACTGAAGCTCAATCCAGACAAGACGGAGGTCCTGTTGGTTGGCGGATCGGGCTTCGGAGAGGGCGGATTTAACCTGGTCCTGAATGGGGTTGCACTCCCTCTTAGGGACAAGGTCCGCAGCTTAGGAGTACTCCTCGACCCGGAGCTTTCATTGGAAGCTCAGGTGACAGCGGTGGCGAGGAGCGCTTTCCTTCAGCTTCGGCTGATTAATCAGCTGCGTCCCTACCTGGAGTACGACTGCCTGGTGACGGTGACACACGTGCTGGTGACTTCCCACCTTGACTACTGTAACGCGCTTTACGTGGGGCTTCCCTTGAAGATGGTCCGGATACTTCAATTGGTTCAAAATAGAGCTGCCAGGTTGCTGATGGGGACGGGGCGTTATGTTCACATGACTCCAGTCCTCCGTCAGCTTCACTGGCTTCCCATTGAAGTCCGGGCCCAATTCAAGATGTTGGTTATGACCTATAAAGCCCTAAACGGCTTGGGTCCTGGTTACCTGAAGGAGTACTTACATCCATATATGCCCGAGCGCCCCTTGAGATCTGCGGGAGAGGCCCTTCTCCGGGAACCCTCCGTGAAAGAAATTAGGAGGGTAGGTACTTGGAGGAGGGCTTTCTCTGCGGTGGCGCCCAATCTATGGAATGTGCTCCCCAGAGAGGTCCGCCTGGCGCCGTCGTTATTTGTTTTTGGCGCCAGGCGGACCTCTCTGGGGAGCACATTCCATAGATTGGGCGCCACCGCAGAGGTCCGCCTGGCGCCGTCGTTATTTGTTTTTGGCGCCAGGTGAAGACCTTTTTATTTAAACGTCATTTTAATTGTTAACAATATTTACTTATTTATCTGGCCAGGGCGACTTCTTTTCTTTTATAACTTCTTTTATATCTTTTATATTTTTTATTTATTTTATATTGTTAATTTTAATTTTATATTTTTATTTTTGTATTGTATTGTATTTTATTGTGTTGTAAGCCGCCCCGAGGCTTCGGCAAGGGGCGGCATAGAAATGTTCTAATAAAATAAATAAAATAATAAAATAAGTACTCTGTACCCTGCAGCTGTCTCTCTCCTCATTTTGGAGGAATGGTCTCTCATACTCTATCAAGGAACATATGAAGTTTTAGATGTACTATCCAAAACATATGAACATGATTTGCTCATTCAATAATTAGTTAGGATTTGAAAAATAGAGCTATGAAACTAAGTATTATAAAAAGAATAAAAAATATTCAAGCATATACAATTACATGTGTATATTCAGTACACAGGACTAATTTTGAAAATTGTATTTCAGCTTGAAGGTATTCTGCTTCTTTTGAGCTTTTATAATAGGGCCATTTGGTTCTTTCTCAGCTTCTTGGCACTATCAGATATTCAAATCTTCAGATACAAGGCAGGAATCAAACATAATTACACAAGAATACAAATCACTGGACAAAAAAGTTTTAATACAAGTAGAAATGAATGACAGAATTTGAAGATACTTATCTGAAGCACAGATGCAAGTATTCTTAAAAATTGTTGCTGTGTCTGGTTTTTAGACTTGGAAATTACAGTCATAAGATCTGGACATCACCAGATTTCTTTAGCAGAGTAGGCCTAGTAATATTACTCATTCTTAGGCAAGAAAAAGCCTTTCAGCAAAATACATTGCAATTATGTCTAATGTTTAATTATAAGTGTACTTTCAAGGATCTTTTGGCTGGTATATTTGAATATTGTAAGACTGACTAACAAAGCACTATTAAGACCCATGGTCCTAGACAGCTATGTTAGGGATTCCAAATAAACCAAACATTTCTCCAAACACACAATACACTATTAAAAGGGCTAGGAAAGTAGTGGCTTTACAGTAAAGCTAAGAGGTCACCACTACTAGGTATTTAATTTTATAGCATACAACTCTGGTCCCCATTGCACCTTCTCACTGGGGGTGGGGTGGGCAGAAGACTATGCTGCACTGATTGTAACTAATGGTACCATAAGACCTAACTAATAGATCATGAAAGCACATTCCAGATTATGACTCAGAGCTGAAATGGATATACTAGAGGGGAGGGAAAAGAGTAGCTCCCTGCTACCAGTAATTCAATCTAGCCTTTGAGAGCTGGGAAAATATAATGTGCAGGCGCATCAACAACTGTTCACTTTCCACATTGTCTGTAAAGATCCTTCCTCAATCAAACTAATTTAGTCACGTTTAAATAGTTGCAGCAGTAGTAAGGAAAATTAAAAGGGTGTTTTTACTGCATTTATACTCTCTATCGTGTTACCAAAGAGGTAGGGTAGCCTGAAAAAGTTTATGAAAAGCAACCATGGGGGGCTGGAATGGGAACAGAGGAGCAGCAATGGAAATTATGTTGTTAATCTTTCTGAGTTAGACTGAGACTCTGGAGATCTGGGTTGTGGTCCCAATACACCCATGAAGTTTAGAGGCTAACTTTGGGCCAGTCATAGATTCTGATGCAATTTGAAGCTCTGGAGATTTTAGACAAACTACTACTACTATTACTAAATTACATTTATACCCTTCCTTTCTTCTTATTGTAAGGAACCCAAGGCATCTTACAAGGTTCTCCCCATCTCCATGTTATCCTAACAACCACCATGTAAATAGATTAGGTTGAGAATCTACGACTTTCACAAAGCCATCCACTAAGCTTCATGGTGAGCTGAGACTAGAACCCAGATCTCCAGAGTCCCAGTTCAGCTCAGAAACAACATGATGATAAACAGCATCATCTCTCAGTGCTGCTCCTTTGTTCCCATTTCAGCCTCCCACACTTGTTTTTAGGGACAAAACAAAAAACAAACAAAACAAAACAAAACCCCACAGAACTGGCTATCACATACATTTCTGTCATCAGCCAGTGTTGCTTCAATCAGCCATCCCGGTTATCATCAACACACAGTATCGTCTATTCTTCTGACATTTAAGTGTCCTGAGTTCATTATCTTCTTTGCCTGTTTCCTGAGCTCTTTTTTCCACCTAGACTGAAGGCCAATGCTGACCTTGTCTCTCTGCACCCTGCCCTTTAACCATAATATCATTACATTTGCTGTTTGTTTTGCACAGATCCTAGTATCTAGAAATTTTTTTAAAGTTTTAGATCCCACCATAATAACTTTTACTTCCCTCATTGATAGTCTAAAAATACTTGATCTCATTCTCCAAGCACTTATTTATTTATTTTATTTTTCGATTTATATCCTGCCTTTTTCTACAAAGGGCTCAAGGCAGCTTACATCTCCTCCTCCATCTTATCCCCACAACAACAACCCTGTGAGGTAGGCTGGGCTAAGAGTCTGTGACTGGCCCAAAGTCACCCAGTTGGCTCCATGGCCGAGCAGGGACTAGAACCCACATCGCCTGAGTCTAGTCCCACGCTCTTAACCACTACACCACATGAGCATTCCAAGCCATCACTGCACTCCAGCCAACAATTGCCAGAAGCCTCATCTACATCTGTGCAACATGAAATCCCTTTGTACCTTCGAATATAGATCTAGAACTACAAGCTTGGAAAGCCCTACTCATTAACTGTACCTAGTAGAATTGAACATAGCCATAATGTTGTTACAGTCATCCACAGCAGTTAAATTCTTCAATTTCAGCAATAATATAAGAATCATTCACACTATTACTAATAGTCACAGAAATCTTTCTAGGCACCTCTTCTCATCAGTCTAAAAGCTTTGTATGTGGAGATCCAAGTTAATATGATAAAATAATTACAACAAACAGTATTATATTTAATAGATGCTAAATAAAGCTTTTCTCCATCTTCTGAATAGCATACTTTCCAACATGGTACACAAAAATGCACAAAATTACATTATCATTTTAATAAAGAACAAAACAGAATTTGAACCTAAATCACCATTTTAATCAGATTATGTGAACACCCAGTACATTATTAACAATTGTTTTAAGCTAAAAATGTCTAAGTAAAATCAGAAAGTGGTTTCTGAAATTGGTTTGGATTCTAAGGTGTATAAAGTCAGCCTTTCAACTAGGAATTCAACAGCAACAACAACAAAATACAAGTCTAATTGGGTATTTCTCTTTGATCCATTGATCCACTAAGTGAGTTATTCAGGAGAATGCATTACAAAGCCAGCACAATACACACGCTGCTTTATCATCAAAAATTCTCTCACCAAGGCTAACAGCAGTAACCAGCACAGCTGGAATTTCATATTACAGCAGTACTTCTAGGATACCTTATATAGACCAATCTATCTTAAATTCAATCCAATGCTAGATTTACGGGAGCAAAAAAACCTAATCAATGCTTGGAATACTTTTCTACCTTCAAAGGAGTCTACCTGAGGAGTTTCCACCATTTCCACAAGCTAAATAGCTTCCAAAAATAAAACTGCAAGTTAGCATCTACTGCTCTCAATTGTCACAAGCTGTATTAAAGTGGTAATTCCTGTCATCTGCTTTTATTGACAAGCCAGTAATATGTTTTATATTTTTTGAGTACTCCTTTATTCAGCTGCTGGGCTTTCAAAAATAAGGAATGAAGAGAAGAGAAGAGAGATTTAGCCTGGCACCTACTCTGACCAGTCAGTTTTGTTTTTAAAGGGGCAGTTTAGAATCTGACATGCTTTACTATAAACAGCACTCACCCGCTCAGCCGATGCAACCTCTTCACCTGCTTGGCAAACAGAAGCAGCCATCTCCAGCACTGTCAAATTAGTAGGGGCATCAGTAGTTGATGAGGATCTGGGTCGACCTGAATGAATATCCTGAACAGACTTTCTGTTGATCTGGGGGCTTCCTTTCGGTGGATCTGACTTGCCCCGCTTGCTATGGAGGCTTGTTCCTCTCTTCATTTTAGGTGGCACTCTGATCTGCTGGAGAACTCTGTTTAGAGCTGTAGGGTGGGTACAGACACCATCAATTTCAGCACAGGTGTTTTGGTTTTCCAATTCCATTTCAGGCTCCATATCAAACTGAACTTGCTGAACATCATGGGGAGACACTGAAGACCTCCTACGCTGATGCTGGAAGAGGTGCTTCAAGCCTTGACCAATCACATTAATGTTCTCAAAGGCATTGTGGGTAATTTTTGACAGTTTTTGCTCTGATTCATGTTGCCTTTTGGCCTCTGGATCTTGAGACTTGACTCCAAGGTCGGGGTCATCATAGAGTTGTTCACCAGCAGATGGCTCCATCAGATGACACCCAACGAGTTTATTTGACAAATCAAACACAGATGTCCTGTGTCTTTAAATTTTGTTTTTTGTTTTGCTAAAAAATGCCAAGATTGTCAGCCAATAAAGTGTGCAATTGCTTCAAGAGTGAATACACATGCAGCTGTGCCACGCTGGTCTCATGCTTATCTAATGTTAAAACAAAAAAACCAAAAAATTACAAAATCATGCACAGATTAAGATAATCCACGTGAAAACATGCAATTAGTTTATTCTTCCTTAACTCAAATTACAGAAGTGCCTTGCAACCCATTATGCTCAATATAGCACTCATCACCATGGTATTCAAAGCAAGACCAATGTAACCTGACACACAGCTCTATATTTCCAATTAAATACTCATTACCACAAACGTTTTAGAAAAACGCACAATATCTGCTTTTGAGCAGAGACAGTATGCCATGTCGTCAGGGCTAAAAGATCTTATGGGTACCAAGAATGCAAACAAAAGCTCTCTGAGCTAAAATGCCTTAAAAGTCATGTTTAGACTTAAGCAACAGCAAATGGTAGAATAACAAAACTAAACCTAGTTTAGTGTTATATGAGCAGATATTAAAACTTGATCCCTGAAGTATATAACTTCATATAGGAGGAACAGGGAAGCCATTATACACTGCAAGAATGAAAGCAGGGAAGTAGGCAAGAGAATCTAAAGCAACACCCCTAGAAGGGAACTATTATCTGAGGATAACAGTAAGTGCAGAAGGATTTCACATGTGGTGAGAGGGATGACATGCAAAAGCTGTGCAAGATGAAAACCAGCTCATACAATTAAATTTTCAGTCTTGGCAGAAGCAGCACTCTTAAAATAAGTCTTTTAACATTTGAACATATTTAAATTGGAGAAAATATCCAGCAGATCTCTGTGATGCCCACACATATTGGATCTAGTTCAGAATTCCTGTTTTGTGAGAAACTTTTAGACCAGATTTCCCAAACTGATGAGAAAAAGATCTAGACCATATTTCAAACATTAGGCCTTGACATTACTGATAAAACAAAATTTTACCAATACAGAAATAGTGGCCCCTTTGCCACCCATTCTGGGCACGTTGTGCAATAAAAAGTGAGGGGGTAGTAAATATTTGGGAGGTTAAATCTGCAACCAAAACCTCTAACATTTATTCGTATCAGTAATTTACGTAAATATACACCATCTTCTTGATGAATAGTGATATAATTCTGTGAAGCACAGAGCTAACAATAAGCAGTTACTTCCATGACCCATTTTGTATGGTTATTAATGTTTAATTATAATAAACATTACATTCATTTTACAAAGGCACAAATAAGGAGAAAAAAGACAACCGTGGATCAAGAAAAATAACCCCAAATATAGAACACTTTCCCCCATTGATTTGGATATACTGAAACGAACTCAATCCTAAAATAGATACTACTAGTATCCCCATTCATGAGCCCAAAACCCAGGAAGGAGAAGCTGAAGAAGTGCAGAGAGATTCAGATGTTATGTGATTCATGGGACCACATCATAAGCTATGTAAGATGATTAAACTATATTAAAATTACACTGCAATGCACAAAGCAGGGTTCCATATCTATGTACTTTTCAAAGGCTATCACTAATTTTGAGAATTTCTATAACTCTATAGAAAATCCCTGAACTCACTTGATAGCCTGATTTAGACCTGTGTATGCAGCATCCAAAAGTATCAGTTCAAGTCTAAGGAAATCTCAGTAATGCAGAATTATGTAGTTCGTAGGTTGGATACGCTGATCTTCAAGATATGGAATGGACTTCCAAGGGAGGTGATTGAGGCCCATTGGTGAAGGTGTTCAAGGAAGGATTGGACAGCCACATTTTGGGGATTACATGAGCAGAGCTGGCTGGAACGAGGGGTCAGACTAGATGGCCTGGGAGACCCCTTCTGACTCCCTGTTTCTATATCAAATTCAGCATCAGTTTACCATCAAATGTAAACAGGGCATCATCCACAAACTAACTATTCTTGATTTCATGATTGGTATTATGCATGGGGCATTAGAAAGATTTGAGAGTTCTCAAATGGTAGCATTCAGTTGCAACATGGGCTTCATGAGCCTCTATGTTTGTGATCATGCAGACTTCCTAATCCAAATCTAATACTATTAAACTTCTAAAACTGGCAGATTTCCTCCTCATAATTGGAGAGAAATGTTTTAACCCCCCTAATTAAAAAAATTGCTAAAGGTAATAGGTCTCAAGTAAGGTGAAGGTTTTAATGCCTGAGTAGTAATCACATATATATGTCTAAAACTCTCCCCATACGTACCAGAGATTAACCAAGTGCAAATTGCCAGCCTGAGAGAAAGCACAATAGATCCTGTGGTCAATGTTACAGTTCTTTCCATGTAACATTTTTCTACAAGGCTCTCACTATGCAGTTATTTCAAGAGTCACCACATGCTGGAAGAAAATGCACTGCATTTGTAGGTAATGAACCAAATGGCAACCAAAGCCAGCTTCTGCAAATTATTTCTAGTGTGAGTCAGAACTACTCTCATGTTCTCAGAATATTTGCGTTTACCTACTTTTCCCCTCACATTCTGAATATTGTAATATTTTTGGTACAGAACTTTTTTCTGTAGAATGTTTTACAATATTCTATTACGGTAACAACACAGACAGCAAGTTTCATACCACAATATGTGCAAGTTTATTTTAATAAGCAGCATACATTCTATTTAATCCAGAAGATGGAACAAACTGAAGAACTCCGTATAGCCAATGGGCAACATATTTATGAACATTAAAACTAGTATTCTTTCAACTGGAATACCATTTATGAGACTTTCAAGAATGAAAAAAATACTTTAAAATAGGAAAGAAGGTACTTACCTCCACCACTTATCCTTAAACATGATTGGCTGGTGGGGCTCCTCTGTCAAACAGCAGCTTGGGAAAGAAAAAGTCAGGCAATGTTACAACAGAAACTTATACAATAAGAGAATGCAATATATCGAGCATCTTTAAGCCAAACACTGTGTTAAGCTCCAAGTTATGGCTGGCTTCAGTATCACCAACCGCAACCAAGCAGAGAAATACAATGACTTCCATGCACCTGCTGCCATCCACATTCTGCTGAATCACAGTTTCCATGGGTCTGCTCCTATTCTGTCTCTGTGGACATGAAGAACTAGCATTAAAAACTGGTGCAGCCAACATCTGGATATTGCAAGGTGAACCTTCCACATACCCAAATTATTCAAAAACAGATGTGCTGTAGTGAAGTTTCACTGATAAACCATAATGGCAAATACAAAACTGCCTCTCCTTTTAAGTATTTTCTCTTTCAAGCTGTTTTCTGAAGCAATCATTTATTCAGTTTTAGCACTAACAAATACAGCTGTAACAATATGGGAAGAAACCCCCCCCCATCATTCTACAAATGCTTCCCCACAAAAAAACAGATAATGCCCAACCATTCTCCTAGCAGCACTTGGTTATTTCATGAGAAATACTAGAATAAAGCATTGTCTACAATAGCATTTTCTCCTCTAAGGAAAAGCAGAATTTCTGCTAAGCTTGCAGCACATATCTAGAGACATAAGGCTACGTACAGCATCAGGACAGTGCTAGCAAACAAGTTATTCAATAAAGAGAATTTAACACACTCAGTATTTTAACTGAAACCTCAATGGAAAAATATGGATGTGGCAACACCTCTCTTACTCAGGGCCCACTAATCTAGATTCTTTCATTTTATCCATACTTTGGCTTGGAAGTTAATTGTATTTGCAGGATAGAAGCAGAGTTCACAGAACAGTTTCCCCACTTTTTCCTTTCCTCAACTTCCCTGAAATCCTGGAAAATCTGCTTCTGTGGGTCTGGAAATCCTCGAAATGAGATCCTGTATAGATGTAGATGCAGGTGAACGGGGGAGCCTGTGTGTCAGAGTGCACAGGTTCTACAGCCCTTATGGCTGCATAGGGCCTTCTGTGGGTAACCAGGGACTATGCATATACAGTTCAGATGCTGCAAGGATTCCCTTTCTCTCAGAAATCTCGATCCTGTTTATGTCCACCTGCAACACTTAAGTTTCTCTCCAAATAGTAAGAGACCACAAACACAGATGGATATTCCCAGTCCACACAGGCCGTATTGTTTTTATTTCTGTGTTTTGCTCACTGCCATATTCACAATTTGTCCGGCCAAAGTTTACAGTCATATTCGCTTCAGACATGAAAAAAATTACCTCCTAAAATGTCAAAATACTGATTTGATAGACCCAGCACAATCACTGTACTTTATTTTTGTCTTGCACCCACCTGCTTTGACAAGCTATCTTTACTGTGTCATGTACAGGATGCTTTCCAGACTAATATGCTTAGTTTTTTCTTTGCAGGAGGAAGTTCTTAAAATAACACTGAATTTATATAGTTGCCCTTAGCTGCCACCAGTGCATTTGATATATGTTTTGAGTTTAAAAGAAGTTAGCAAACTACCCAGTGATGAATGGACATAAGAGTACAACAGAATGAAGCAGGTAGTAATAAGAATGGAATTCCATACATGGCACTAGCTACATGTCCAGTTACATATGTTGCATATAATTAAATTTAGCCTGAACTATTCCAGATTTCTGAAACATATAACTTATTGAAGAACACCTTATTGAGGTTTCAGTGAATTTTATTAAGGGACTGAAATCTTAATTCTTTAATCTAACATTCTATCAGTGCAATTAGAATCTGTGCATATGAAGATATGAGGGTTCACAAGGCTACCCCTAAAACATAGTATATGTTGTTCCTGTGAATAAAAATGAACTCACTTTGTCATGATGGTTCCATAAAACAAAACATATCATGCTGACCTACAGCATGCATGGGCTTGCACTGTATCTCTCTGGAGACAACTGACAGGCAGCTCAGTGTTTTACCTGACTGGTTATGGTAGCACAGTGGTCTTTAGTGGTGGCATAAGCCCAACCAAAAATATGGTTCAGGTAACAACAGGAGCCAAGAAGTGGCCACGGAGAAACAAGAGAAAGGTAGCAGGATGACTGGGGAAACCTCCAGACTTGTAGTAATTTAAAGCAACAGCAATAATCCTAAAGCAGTCTGGTGACCTTCAGATGCTTTGGACTTCAACTCCAAGCATTCTTGGCCACTGCCCATGTTGGCCGGAGCTGATGGAAGCTGTAGTCCAAAATATTATGGGTAGTGTCCCAGTGCTAATTATGTTCTGCTAGTGTAAGCCAAATATACTGCTCACTAGAGCAAAGGGGGAACAGTGATTTGAAATGGAACTGCACCAGGGCAGCAGGAATACCACTGCCTCCACTTTAATCGCACTGCCAGAGTTCATCAGCATACTGCCACTTTTCCTTTGTACTAGCAAGCAGTAATTAGGATCTACATGTGTGGGGGATGGAAAAGGCTGCTTTAAGAAGTGAAAAGCTCAAACAGCCCAGATTATCTTATCATGTTTAGTAGTCTCAGAATGTTAAATGTCAATTGGAAAAAAACACACACAGCAGAATGATGGATTGAAATGTTTCAAGGCTAGGAACTCTAAATAGGAGCAATTCTATTCAGAGGTAGGGCCGCATGATATTTCATTGCCAATCCCACTTGAAGCAACTGAATTTATTCAGCATTTAAACATTTTCAGGATATTGACAAAAGTGCTCTTACTTTCAAATGATGGCATCTTTTCTTTCCCTGTATTTTGTGAGTTGTGAATATTTAGTTTAAAAAAGAATTTACCAATACCTCACTTTATAGCATGGCTAAGGTACACCTTATGTTGCAGCCAAATTTGGTGTTGATCAATGCTGGAGAGCATAAAAAGTAGCCTTTACTGTTTGCAAACGTGTATACTATACCAAGCATTTCCTTCTAAGCAAAAGCTCACACAACTCAAGTAAAAATTCAAGAAAATCCAACTGCTATGCTAATCACTGTTTTATTTCACAGTCACTGAAATACTTTATGCAATTGCTTCTGCACAATCCACAGATGAATTTGAAATTCATTACTGGCCACTCATACTGAAAATTAGCAATAATTTCTTCTTAGTAAAGAATATACTTTTCGACAACATCCTGTCTTAATAACATTGTTTATTTGGGTCACAAAACTTCAGTTATGTTGGGATTATCCAGTTCCTGATGAGAAGAAAGCAACATGGCCTAAACTAAGAACAGTCACTACAATTTATTCAGTAATCTTCAGATCAATCTGTTAATACTTCACAGAAAGCAAGCAGCACCCCTGAAAACAACAAGTCTTCTAGTTCTCCATTCCATAGATGTCTTAAAATTATAGAGCAAGGGCCAACAGAACAGGAGCTCTAAATGTATGCAGGACATAGGGGAATGATTTTTCCTCAGTTTTCCATTTAAAATAAAAAGCAGCTAAATGAACCGCAGACACAGTCTACCTGATTTATCTTTTGGTGGAGGGGAAGGGAACTGAAAAAGCTATAAAATACTGCATATACTGGCCTCACCAAACTCCTCCCAATAATACACCCCTTTTCTCCCTCTCCAACTTTTCTTATGAGGCTGACTTATGAGGAAAGCTTTATGGAAGCAGTGAGGGAGGGAAGATGCACAATCAGATCTCCTTCTCCATGCCCGTAGCTCTTTTTATAGGCTTAGAGGATATCCATAGCTTTCCATGGCATCCCAGGGGCTGTCTAAAAAACTAAAAGACAGCTCTCTATATGTTACTATGCAACAATGAAATGCCCATTTCTTCAGAAGCAATTTTCTTGAACAGATTTGCAACAAAAAAGAAACTGATCTCATAAACAACCTGCATATGCATATTTGGGGTGTGTGCACACATGTATGCAATTTATTTCCAGTTGAAAGGTTCACTACTTCAAGCAAGGAATCATTGATGAGAAAGCTCACTCAGTAAAGCTCTCTGTGTAAGAAAAAAGCCTCCTGGGAACATTCAAGTTCACATATAAATTATTTATGCTTTCACGCACTGAGAAACTGACCATATTTAGGAAGCAAAGACTAGACATTAAATAGTTCTTGTTTAAAAAGTAGTAACACCAATAATCCCTTTACCTTTGTAGAGCTATCAGATCATTGTTACGCAGACAACACAACTCCCAACATTCAAGTACTTCAATATATAATCTCTATAGCCAAAGGTTAAATACAAATTAAAACAGATTTAGGGAAAAAACCCATCGGAATACTATTCTTCATGTCCCCTTGAAGCATTAGTATTTCAGTTAGAAAATATCATGTATCCATGTAATTTCATCTGGGTATATCTTGAGTTCACATTCTTCATTTACCTCTAACTATATTTGATAAGGTCAAGTTTGGCAACAGTTGGATATGTCATTGCAAAAGCCTCCTATCAGTTGTTCTAGAGTGTTTTTTTTTAAGCCATGCTTTTTGACATGGACTAATCCTAGTGGACATTTAAGTCTAAAATATAGGTAGAAACGTCCTGATCATTTGCTATTACAGCTTCACTCAAAGAAGAGGAAACCGCCCAACAAAGCTGCACTAATGCTCCTACTTCAGTTCTCTTACTATGGCCTTACAGCAGCAGCAGCAGCATTTTATAAAGCAGCTCTGTGCCTCAAATCAAGGGCTGTAATCCCATGCACACGATAAATCTGGAAGCATAGTTTTCTAAAGCTCAATCCTTCTCTCATTTGGTTGCAAGTAACATATTGTTCTTGGTTCAACTCGAGGAGGAGGATGCAATTTAAAATGTTGCCTCATATAACTCTGTAAAGCTTTAAGTTCAATGGGTATTTAAGGTACTGCAGGCCATAATTGCTTTAAAATTCTTCACATGCATTTGTTTCCAGGTGCAAACAAATTCTGGATAATCTTGATAGCTAAATAAAAAAGGTGTGGTCACCAGAACATACCCCATCCTTAAGGGACAAGGATTTCCTTGTGCTACAGCAACTAAGGCACACCAGCTTAGTGCATGTATCAACAAGGCATTTTTGTTTGGGTGCTTGGTTTGCTGAATGCTGATCACACATATGCCAAACACTTTAATATTTCAAACTGGAGAACAATCAACAGGAATTTGATCCATATAGCTGAGTGTTAGGATAAACATGTATAACATAAAAGTTTTGAGTTTTACTATGACACAAATTATGATTGCATTCAAACTTAGGTCATGGGATAGGCAGTCTGGTGTCTTTCAAATATTTTGAATAATTCTCAGGATGGCCAATTAACAGGGATTAGGGAAACTGTAGTCCAAATCAACTGAAAGGGGCGAGGCTGTTTACCCCTGTTATCACTGCAATAAATTGTAAGTGCTTTAGAGAAGGCAGGAGGGAAGCGATACACTTAGCCTTAAAATTTGGATATTGCATACATTCAGTCAAAACTGAAACAAGTCTGAGTTAAATATATTTTACAAATGTAGACCCAGTCCAGACTGAGGTTGAAAATGCTATTTTAAAACCATCAAGAAGCTTCATCCACATTCAACATTAAACAATTTACAGAAGCAGTCTTCAGAACCAAAGTATGAAATAGGAAAGGCTAACATGTCTATAAGAATTTTAAGAAAGATCAACAAGCAGCGGTGTATACATTCTGAAGAAACTTGAATACTGCAATGGCAGCCACCTATGAAGGAAGTTTGTCACAGCTACAGTGCCTAGTTTCATTGCTTCTTTCCCTTTGGCAAACATCAAAGACTCTGCATTTTCAACAAAATCTAGGCTGATTAATCAGAGCTCTAGATCTCATCTGTAATTTTGCTCCACTGAGAGAGAGACAGACAGTGAGAGATGAAAAATTATCCTGTTGTGTCTTTATTTTTATTTGCCCTTAAGGTTTAATCCAGAATGTTAGCTCCATTCATGGGGAGAACCAATGGAGACTACACTGGAAAAGTGATAGAAGGAAATTTGTGCCTATTCTTTTTCACAATATGTCTGATCCAAGCTTCATGTCTATTTCTTTAACCACTTTGCAGATTTGAGACCAAAAGATGGATAGAAATATTTTAAAAATAAAGAGTAATCTTGTTTTGAATGGAGAGAATAAACTAAAACCTTTGCTGCATGTTTAATGCTCCTGGGCAAGATTATATTAACTGATACCACATTCAATTTTAGAGCACATTTATCCAATGTGAAAATGTTTTATTATTTCAAGACTGTATCGGTAACCCTGAAATCACTGAAGTTTGTAAAGCATTCTGACACATCAAAAGCAAACCGGTATACTTTATTAATACAAAGTATTTTTTTCTGACAATTCCACAGGAGGGGCCAACCCCAATTAATTCTGATATACTTCTGTCAGGAGTAAGTCACTTCTCCACTGTGCTTCAATATCCCAAGCTCTACACAGGCAACACATCACCTGCCACACAAGAGAAATAATAAGAATATTTATATTTACAGAAAACTACTGTTTAAAAAAAACCTTTGGAACTATGTATCTTAAGTTGAAGTGAGGTCAATTTATTCACTATTACGCAAGCAGCAGAACTGCAATGCTTCACTGCACATGTGCATATTCAACTAATTTCATCTCCAGTGTTCTTTATGTTTTAGTTATTTGTATTTAGCAACAACCACATGTCATTAGGCATTTTGGCACTCCTTCTAGGGTAAGAAAAGCTGTCATATCACATTCTATTTCTTCACCATGTTTTTTTTAATACCCTGCTAGAGGAAGCTCTCCTACAGGAAGGCAAAGAAATTACATATAATGCTTCCAATAATCAAAGCTTCTAGCCTCTCTCCTTATGGACAGACATGAGATGCGGAACTGAACTACTGTAATCTAGTTGTCAAGTTTAACTATCTTAAATATCAGTGGTGACAACATTTAGAAACTGACAAGATCTGATCAAATATTAAGACATATTTCCTAAAGTACTAGATATTGCTACCTTGCTAAAATGAGGTTTCGAAATTAAAGTTTTGCTTTACATATAAAGAGCTGTGAAAGCAGTCAAAGTAGCAGTGTCTTCCCCTTTTCCATGTTTACAGAGATGTAGTCAAGTTTGTAGGTCAGCTTCAAAATAACTATTACCATAGTGTTTCCTCACACAGAAGGAAGAACTTGTGATGGGACCATAACAAGTTGATGGTTGGCTAAACCAACTCAGGATCTGCTACAAATAGTGCTTATAATCCAAAATCCACGTTATTTACAAAAAGGAGAAGAAATCATTTCTATGATTCTATGATACTACAAATTGCATAATACATGGATGTACACCCGCCCCCCCCGGTACCATTTTGGTTGTTACTAGTAGAAATACAAGTTTGTTACTGTCTTCTAGCAGCTATGGCAGTCTTGCCAATAGTAGAGAAGCCCTATGATGGCATGAAGATAAATGAAAGATTCAGCATTCTAAGCCTAGTCTTATTTATGGGGCTAAACATTTCAGCTTTCACCGTAACACCTCTAAGCAGAAATGCAGAAATTTCCCTTACAGCTTGATCCCACACATTTTCTTGAGATTAAGTCAAGAAAACATAAGAATATTTTCATGGGAGAACAAAACTATTAATGTCTACTAATAATGATGGTTATATATTACCTCCAGCATTAGAGGTAGCATGTCTCTGCATACCAGTTGCTGGAGAACAAAACCAGCAGGGTATTATTACAGTCATGTCCTGTTGTGGGCTTCCCATAGGTATGTGGTTGGAAACTGTATAAGCAAAGCAGAATGCTTTTATCAAGTATGTTTCATTATGAATAAGACAAACCTCCTGGACCAGACCAAAAAACCAAGCAGTAGAACATTCTGTTTCCACAGCAGCTAACTAAATACCTCTAAGAACTCCACAAAGACAGTATGAAGGAAATTTCCTCTAAGCACCTGATACCCAGCATCATTACATGTCATGGTGGCAAACAGTAGCTTAATTAACCCACAATTTGCTGGGATGCAAATCCCACAATGGATTCAATTTTTATAATAAGGGGATTAAATTTTAATATGAAGAACCACAGCACAGGGGAAAGGGTTAAATTCTACTCCGAAACCACCCAAAAAGAACACCATTACTCTCTCTTTTTAAACAGTAAAGCAAAACAAATGCCATGCATTTAACATGACTAAGTTTCTTAAATGCACCCTGGTAGTTTATTGTGGGTTAAATAATCTGTGATGAGCCATGACATGCACTGGATGCATATAGCCATTATTCTGAATGTGCAACTCCTGAGCAGGGGCATCAAAGGTTATTCTTTGTTGGGTAAACTTGCCTATCACCAATTGTTTTAGGATTAAATAAACCTCAATTAGTAGTAGGATTAGGTGAAGATTAACTCTAGTGTTGGGTAAACCCAGCATTGCTGGGTTTACCCAACACTATATAACCCCCAATTGCTCCAATCAGGGGCTGCACATTCAAAATGGCAGTCAAGCATACCCAACATACACCACAGCACATCATGGGTTAAATAACCCCTGATATGTTAGCTGTGTTGCATAAACTGGTCCAATGAGTACTTTTAACTTTAGCTTTTTAACAGGATCATACCCTTCCATTTTATGTTGTTTGTTGATGTTGTTTATGTTGTTTGACTCGTGCAAGACTGGGACTCTTACCTTCCTCCTAAAAGAGAACAATCACATCAAAAGTATTATAGGGGGAAAGCCAATTTTTTTCCTTGATTGTGGAAAACAAACATGTTAATTTTTCCTGTTGCTGCTGCTGTTGGTTTTTTTTTCTGGTAAGTTGCATAGACTATAACTTATCCCCATTCCATCCAAAGTAAATCAACAGAAAACATCCAGAATCCAGAAAATGCAACAAAGGTAGTTTTTTTAAACTGACATTTTACATTATTTTCCCCACAACTAAAGCACAGTATAGTTCACCAGTTCCATTTTGACTGATGAGTAAAACAGACACTGAGAATCAGAAGAACTTCAAGCAAATTCACTGCCAACAGGAATTTTAATTCAGTGTTTCAATTTATGGAATTCATAGCTGTTAATTTTGCTTAACATGAGTAGTATGCTACTGCTTGCTTCTCTTAAGTTCAGTTATATAATGCCAACCAGATCACATTAAAGTATTTAAAGCTCTGCAAAAGAAGAGGAGCTCTGCCAGCATAGGAAAGCTACAGTTCTGAGTTCCAAATCTAAAGGAAATCTAGAAGAAACCATCATACGCTTATGTAAAAAAAATCTTACTAAACAGGCAGCTATGCATTTGAACTAGGCAGTTCTCAAGAATTGTTTCCAATCCTTTTAACTGACATATAATGAAGTTTACTGTGGAATGACTTTAATTTCCAATACCAGTAAAATACCAACTATTTCCTTCAGAAGTGACCATCCAGCATGCTATCACCAAACCCATCATTTTTAAAAAGCTGTCTTCCATGTAAATGTATTTTCTGATGAAATTCTATGATTGCTGGCAAAACTGCAAATCTATTAAAATTCTATCAGGATTATTTAAAACCCTTCATTAATTTTAATAGAAAAGATTACTTTCATGACAAGAGAAACAAAAGAAAATTAGAAAGAAAACAGATATTTTAAATTACACTATTTGTTTGCCTAATAAGTCATTGTACTCTGGGCAACAGTAGAGTAGGAAAGAGCAATTCACCCCAAGAAGCATCAAGACAGATGCTAAGGACTTCCACATCACCAACACACCTAAATTGCAAATGCAAGAGGCACAGCTATATGCTGTTGATAATTCAAACTATCTAAAAATGCTTTGGATAGATGCTTGATTTAGAAGGCTCCATTCTCTGCAAGTTATTTCCAGCATCTGTAATACCAATAATGCTGTATAGTCCTTCCTCCCACTCAGATTAAAACGTACCTGCATTGTAATCTCGAAGTCCATTCCTCTTCCTACAATCCTATCCATTCTACTGCTTCTCTAATTCATAAATGAGAGAAAGGATGTGCCAGTATTTTATTAAGGTATCTGCTACTAACTTCATGTATAATGCAGAAACACAAATAATAAAGACACACACGAAGAAGAACTCAGCAGGACTCAGAAGAACTCAACACAATGTTGTTGAAATATTGACCAACAACTGAAATGGGACAGCCACACTACCAAGGACAGTCTTCTGTATTACCTAACAAATACAGCTTCCCCTCATGCCTTCCTCTCTATTTGTTTACTCTTGGTATGGGATTATGCTAGAAAGCAAGATTTCTAGGAAAAGGGGGAAGGAAGGGTGACACTTATAAGAGCCCATTCAAAACACCACACAGGATTTTGCTGTATTATTCATCAAAAACATGACACAGTGCTGTTTCACAACCTATGCAATATGGCCAGGCTTCGGATGTTTAGGACTACAACTCCCAGCATTCCTGATCACTGGCCATGCTGCCTGGAGCTGATGGGAGCTGAAGTCCAAAACATCCGGAGGACATCAGATTAGAGAAGGCTGTAGAATGCAAAAATTTACGCAGTCTCAGAAACAGCCCGAATACCACCAAGAAGAAAAAGAAGTAAGGAGGATGCAAACTCTCGGCGACTATTTTTCCGCCATGGTGAATTTCGGGGAAGAGGTTCGCCCCCTACTCAGAAGCCGATGACGCTACGAGCGCGCGCGCGCGGGCGGAGGAGGGGGACACAGCAAGGCGCCAGCCTGCCCCGGAGTTTTGAGGGAACGAGAGGGGCCCGTCCGGAAGAGCCACATGATGTCGGGGATGAGGAAGAGAGAAGCGGGGAACAGGTAGGCAACACGGGAACCGGCCAACTGGCGAAGGGAGGCGACACCGGGGAGAGGGAAGGGCCCCGCGTGCCCCTGCGAGGGCAGCAGGGCCCTGGAGGCTGCCCAGGCACGGAGGCGCTGAGGGGAGAAGAAAGCTGCTAGCCTCGGCCACTTACCGGCTGAGGGAGTCGGGGGAGGCGACGCCCCAGCGACTCCTGCGGCGCTGGTGGCGGCGGGGGCTGCCGCTCCTCCATGCCCCGGCTCCCGGCGGCGCCGCCACCGCCGCCAACCCTCCTTGGCCTCCGGCCTCCCCCGCTGCCGCCTCTCGGCCAAGGGGACGACGCCGCGTTATTGCGCAAGCCGCACACCCACACTCAGAAACTCTCCGCGCACGTCACCGCGAGCCACTTCAGCGCGTCGCGAGGGGGAGGGGCGGCGTGGGGAGCCGTTCGAGCGGCTGGCCCCGCCCTCCCCCTCGCGCCATTGGCGGCGCGGCGGCGGCGGCGGCGGCGGGGGGCGGGGGGCGGGGCCCGCCCGGCTCCCTGCGGAGGCTTCGTCTTCTGCGGCGAGGAGAGCGGCCGACGTGCTTCCTCTTTCCCACGGTTGCAGAGCGGGAGGCGCACGCTTCGTTGCGTGCCAAGCCCACGTGTTCGACTGCCGGCGGGTGGGCAAGCGATTTTCTGTCAGGGACGCACACATGGCATATTTTTTTGTTTTGGGCTCGCTAGGATCCCTCCCTATTCATCGCTCTCCCCAATCCTCTAGTTTGTATTTTATTTTGTTTAACCTCTGTTTTAGGATATCATTTCTTAAATGTCAACACTGGCTGTCCCTATCCCCGCCCCCCAGGTATATTTTCTTCTGCAGCAGCTTGCACGCTGGTGTTATGTCCGTGATCCTATTACTTACCGATTCATCCAATTTACACTCTGCCTGTACCAGTAAATAGCACTCAAGTCGAATCCTAGAAATGCACCTTCGGCCCTTTCTTGTGCTCAGCTTTCGCGGGCACGTGCTCAACGTTACAAAGGATCGTCACCGAATTTGATTACATGCCTATCCTCCTGGCTTTCTCTAGGATGTTGTAAAGGCAGAACGGGCCCTTTTTTTATAGAACTTAATGCCACAAACGGTCGAGTGTGTTAGGGACACCCGAGGAGAATAATTAAGGGCTGAAATCCATCAGCTATTGCACTTTTATCGGTCTAAGCTAGCCAAGCCCAATCCACCAGCAACATGTGACTGGTTAGGATGAATGCGATAAGCCACAAAATACCCACAAAAAGCACATGCTACAGTCTTCTGGGCAATAAGCGGCATTGCATAAAAATGGGCCGACAGGTTAACTTCCGAAGTATACAAACAAAAGAAATTCACAAGCCTTACTAGACCAGATGAAACTCAAGCCGTATTTTACATCTGGCTACAGAAATCATGTTCCAGTATCTGTTCTGACAAAAAACAAAACACCCTTTGAAAACACCTTGGAGTGCCACCTTTCAAGAAAGCCAAACCAGTTCATCTTACCAGTCACAAAGAATCAGATGGAATGATGCAGTATAGGCACATATTTTGTACAGATCCTGAAATTCCAAGAAACCGCGTTCTGGGGTGGATGGGGAAAACAGTTTGCAATAGTAATGCAATGCATAATCTCCAAGCTTTGTGGCTTGCTACATCAATTTCCCCGATCTACTAGAACTTGGGAAGTTGGTGGGATTAGATAGTTTAGAAATTAGCTTTCCAAGCCATTTTTTTAGGATATCATGTATTTCCTGGGAAAGATGGGAAATGGAAGCTGTACACGTTTTGCCTCTGATCTCTGAAACTCTGCCAAGGTTACTTAAAATGGTTTCCCCTCACCCTTGAGTTCAAAATGTTGACATGTAATGAATATAAGCAAGTTATAGTAAATACTGATGTAGTTTTGCATGGTGCCATCACTTTCTGGACCCATCTCAAACTGGTGTCAAAGTGGGATACAGAACTGGAACTGCTTTGGTCACTCTAGTGGATGATCTACAGCTCAGACTTGATGGGGGCAGTGTGCCCCCATTGGTTCTGCTGGATCTCTCAGTGGCTCTCAATACTATCAACCATAGTCTCTTACTGGATCATCTGAGGGGACTAGGAATGAAATGTAGTTCACTTCTTCCCATAACTGATTGCATCTTCGCTGTCCTCTGGTCATCTGGCACCACCACATATAGCATATCTGCAATACTGTATCTTGTACAAATTCCAGAGGAGGTATTTGATACAGGTACAGAATCTTTACAGCTACATTAAACGTATTATGAAAACCAGGACAAATACTGGCATCTTCACAGCAGAAAATGTTGGCTGTAGATCATGGCTCAATGGCCCGAGAGAGTGAGGAAATCTGCCCCTTGTTTAGAAAGGTAGTTCTGCCAGAGCAGGTAGCCTGCCATCAAGATATGCCACTCCATATGCAGGGATTTATGCACATTTCATAATGAAGCCTTGCACTGTCAAAATATACAGGTACCCAAAGTTGTTCAAATTAACTTGGCAGCATGGACACTGATATGACACTAGGTGTGGCAGAACACCTCCACATTAAGTTCACTTGGCCTTGGAATGTTGTGGTGTAAGATTCCTGTTTCCACATCCTGGTTTGAATGGATAAGCAGGTTTCATTTCACAGTAGAGCTTAAGGTGAAAATGGTTGCTAGGCAACCTTGATTTTCTTCCTAAGAAGCAGGCCTCAGTTCAGCCTTAGACCTTTTTGAAAGAGAGTAGTATGCTGGGGTCCATATTGGGTTGCTCATAGCTTGGTGCTAGTCCTCACTTCTGAACTGTTCTAGCATTGCAGTCTTTTTAGGGAGCCTATTTTTGTGGCAAGTGTAATAAAAACAGAATACTTCAACAAATCCAGGTTCCTGCAATATGCTAGTTGTATACAACTTGCAAATGAACCAAGTTAACGTCCTTAGGAAATTGATTTTGTTGTTCATTGACAAGGTTTAATGAACCTAACACTAGGTTAACCTAAAGTTTCGTCTATTGAGAGGAATGGTGCATGGAGAATAACTGACATTTGAGGCCAAATCACAGGCAAGCTAATAACTTGTATATATTTATTTTCAAAAATTTCTATACTGCATGTCATGTATGGCATGATCCTAACCAGGTTCTCAGTGGCTACAAAACATTTATGACTTTGCTTCACATTTCTCAATTTTCTCAATTTCTCCTTCCCTCATTCATTTGTGTCAAGAGTCCTTTTATCTAATTCACTATGTTGAGCTGTAACCAAGCTTTTCTTCCATTTCTGGAGAAAACAGTACAACTGAAACTGTTTTCTTGAATTTATCAGTTGATAACCGATATTTCTTCCTTACTTTGCCCTCACAATATGGTCATCAACTACCACATGTAGATGCTTCTGAAAGCCCCAAGTGATCTGAGAGAACATAACCCTTCTGATTTTCTATGCCAAGCTAAGAAGTGGGGGAAAACATGTTTTTATACACCTTGAAACGCTACACATTTTTCTTGCAATTGTGTTAGTACTGTGCATCAGCTGTCATTCAGGCATGTGGAAAAGTAGAAGATATTCATTTGTATAATCACAGAATATGTAGGTTTGTTCCTAGAACCTTTTGAAATACATCTAGTAGTGATATAACAGCAAGTAGTCTCTTGGGCCTTTGATATTTATCCAGTGTGACTGGTCCTGTGTATTTTTAGACAACTACACCCCTTTGAGGGGAAGCCAATTTGATATGGGGAAAGAGTGCCCTTGATCTTTGTCTGATACAATTAGTGTATCAGCAGTGGGGAGGGAGGGGTTGTATTTCAGTGGAAAGTGGAAGCCATTCCTTGGATCTGGCTAATTCATTTTTCCCATATAAATCTTTGGGCCATGTGCACTTTATCAGCTTTTCTTGAAAAGAGAAATACACAGGATTACTGGATTTGCGGTAACTGCCTTTCAGAAAGGTCTTGGCCTGGCTTTGATTGTTTATGATTGTTTGTAAGAACAGCCCTGCTGGATCACACCATTAGCATCCTGTTTCTCACAGTGGCCAATCAGATGCTGGTGGTCATTCCATAAGGAAATCACCTGCTCTGTGACTGACCTAGACTGCCAGTATGCAAGTTTAACTATTGAGTCAGTAAGCAAGTGATGAGACTGCTGCAGCTTCTTTCGCAAATTTCTTCCTTGGTCCTTTCACCCAGCCTTTTCAGCTGCTGTGCACTCTTCTGGATAGCAGGAAGTGAAAGGGGATTAGACTAAAGACCAGGGAGGAAGACAGGGAAAGCTATGTGTCATCCATGCACTAGGGGCTCTTTCACACCCATACTCACCATCTTTGAAAGAATATGAGTCTTTCAGGCCTTCTTTTAGAGATAGTAAGCTTTGTTATGGCACATGGCTTCATGTGGTGGTGCTTTCAAATAAGTAAACTCTTCACAATCGTACTAATCAAAGTAGCACAATCCTAACTAAGAACCAGCTAATATTATCAAATGACATGCTAAAACCCACCTGCAAAGAGAGTTACATAGGAAGGAATTCATGCAATAGCATCCATCCTGGTGTGAAAGCCAGCCCCAATTTTGCTTCTCCATACAGTGTTAGGAACAATGGAGACTGCCTTATGTGTAGTTGACTTTGTCCATCTCACTGCTATCTCTTCTGATGGAAATCAGCTCTCTAGGATTTCCAGAAGAGGTCTTTCCTATTACTTGCTTCTTGAGCCTTCTACTTGCAAAGTATCTGGTCTATTGTGGGGCTATGTTTCTTGCAGTAGTAGTTACTAGGAAACCAACTGTTACCACAGTATCAAGAGCTGTGGCTGAATCGCCGTGTATATAGAAGCCCTACTCACCTAGGAGTGGGAAGCTGTTCTATTCACTTTTGAAAGCCTGTACAGAACCATGGCATAAGCCTCCAGCAGGCAGAGGGGTTTCTTTTTTCTGCAGGAGGTTTCTGGTCCAATGGAATAATTGCACTGCTCATTTGTTCATTCTTTCCTTCCCCAAGAATGCATTATACACAAAAAAAGACAGACAGACAGACAGAGATCATCCAGAGGGCTGGGAAGCAGTGGGTGGGTGGGAATTCTGAGGATTACCTTCTCTTTTCTTCCCCCAGTATGAACATTCTGAGTGGAATTTGCTCAGGATCTGCTCCCACCAAATAATAAAGGTGGGATCCAACCCCATGTGCATTGATGGCAGTGTCTGCTTCAGGTTTCTAGGGATCCTTGGGCAAGATACACTTGGTGGGACCCCTCTACTTTCTTGGCACCAATGCCACTAATTCCTCCTGTACTTTCTTATCAATTGTAGCACTTGCTTATGTGACACGGTGACAGCCACTAAGCGAGTAGGCACTGGCATCTGTGCT